AGGACGTGCTGCCCGGCGGCTTTTTCTACTTTGACGGTTCTCGGTATTTCTATGACATCGCTGATTAAATATGACCTATCACTTTATATATCTTGCTTGAATAATTAAACCCGGGCCCAGGCAGGAGTCACCCCGATGCCTCTACAGGGCTTTCGTCTCCCATGGTGAACCCCCATGGGTCCCCGCGGCTGTCCGCCTGAGAATGGCTGGCACGCAGATTATGCAGAAATGTTTGTAGTGAAACTCAGGACTTCGAAGGAATATCTTAGACCACCTAGTCCAGGCCTCCCCAAACCTGGCGAAGCATTTAAACATGCCGATTCCCAGGCCCCACCTCAGAGTGACCGAATCAGATACTATCAGGAGTGTTGGGGGGGGTGCCCAGAAACCGTATTTCCACCAGTTCTTGGAATACTGAGCATCAGCCCCATCTGGGGGTCGCCGGCGATGTCAGGGGCATTTGTTCTATCAATGAGAGCACAGAGCCCCCCGTGAGGGAGAGTGAGTGACCAAGGGTCCCGCGGCCCCCTGGACTGGCAGGTGAGGTATAAGGACTTTCTGCCAGGGAGCCATCCTCCCTGAGGTTCTGTATCAGCTGAAGGTTGTTTCTGAATCAGCCCGTTTTCCTGGTTGGTAATCTTCCTGAATTTTACGAGAAAGAAAGAAAAAAGGTTTGAAGCTCTTTACACACGTTATTCTGCAATTTGTGCATTTTTTCCTCCCTCTGAACCCACTGTCTCTTATGCCACTGATGTACCGAGCTCCCGACATCTGTGTGTTTCTCAGGAAGGGACGGGGGAGCACCCAGGACTTGCCACAGGCTTCTAGGACTCTGTCCCCGGGGCGCCGGGGGAAGCTCCACCCAGGTGAGCCGCTGTTGGTCCCAAGGGGGCTGCAGAGTGTCCCCCCGACCAAGCAGCAGGTCCTGGGCTCAGGTACCTGCTCCTAAGTCGTCGTGTACCGCAGGGCCAGTTCCTCAATGTGCCTGGATCTGGTCAGGCTAGATGAGTAATCTCCAGGCTCCTCCCAGGCGATACGTCCCTTTTCTCTGCATAAGCTGTGGCTACATGAATACAGTTCCTAGAACAGGTGTCCATGTGCTGTGCCCTGCAGGAGGGCTCTGAGACGGCTGCCCACGCAGGTGAGGCACACAGAGCACAGGGGGAGTGTGGGAGGGTGGTGGGTTTCCATCATGAGCCAGGGAGGGGTCATGAGATCTGTGCCCCAGCAGAGGCTTGCCCGCAGAGATGCAAAGATGGCAGGGTGTCTGGCCATCTCCATCCCTTTTGTTCCTCTGCTGCACGTCCTCTCCTGTCAGAGTCGACTGTGATAGTCTTGGGTCCGTTTCTGTAGTTCTCCAGGATAGATGAGGATGGCTTGGGAGTGAAAGCTTCAATACCTGAGTCACTGCCCTCTCTTGCTAGCCAGGCGAGCAGTCTGCAGATTTGACTAGTGTCCTGCATGTGGAAGTCCCGAGAGGCTTGCAGGCTGTTCTGCAAGACATACAGACAGACCCAAAAGCTGTCGACTCTTCTCGGAGCTCTGCAAGACTGCCGTGTATTCAAGGCTCTGAGAAGTCCTGTATTAACTGTTACCAACCAACCCAGTGTTTCCAAACTCCTTTGGGCTTGAAACTGTCTTTTGTGTCTCCTGCCTAGTCCTAGACTGCCACAAACCATGTTTTGCAGAATTCTGCCAGCTTTGGGGTAGCTGATCCCCTCTCTATTCTGGGAAAGGTTTGATTGCTTGAAGCCCCTTCTGAAGGCCTGCTATGATCATGTGGTCTATTCTTCCCAGCTCGGCCCAGGTCATGACCAGACAGGTGGTGGTTTCACAGGATCTAGGGCAGGTGGGGTGGGCATGTGGACTGTATGAGCAGTCTGGGGAACAGGATGGCTTTGACCTCGGGGAGAGGGGGGCCACTGATGTGGAGGCTGACCGGCCCTATTTTATGTTGTGCTCCTGGGCCTGGACGCACGTGAGGTGCTGCTTCTGTTCTGACTTTCTCGTGTCTTGGGGGCGACACGCGTTGCCCCGTGCCAAATATTGTGTGATGTCTTGCCCGACACTACTGTGGCGGTTGGTAACTGACATGCCTTAGAATCTAGTCTTAATAAGGCCGAATGTGTGCCTCTCGAGGGGGGTGAGTTCCATCCTGTGGACCGACTTCCTGGAGTTGATGGTGGCCACAGGGCACTCAGAAGGGTTTTTTGAGCTTGTTGGGGTCAGCAGATGGGCACAGGAGAGCCACATGGTGGTGGTACCTGAGCGGGGGTTTTGTGACCTGCGTTTTTAAGTTGAAAATTCAGTCTGGGCCGAGCTCAGTGGCTCCACCTGTCATCCCAGCACCTTGGGAGGCCAAGGCGAGTGGATGGCCTGAGCCCACAGGTTCGAGACCCACCCGGGCAACTTGGCGAGACCCCGTCTCCACAATAAATCAAAAATCAGCCGGGCGTGGTAGCACGCGCCTGTAGTTCCAGCTACTTGGATGGCTGAGGCGGAAGGATGGCCAGAGCCCAGCAGGTCGAGGCTGCGGTGGCCGGGAGCGGCCACTGCACTCCAGTCTGGACGACAGTGAGACTGCAACTCAAAAAAAAAAACAAGAAAAGAAAAGAAAATCCAGTCTGGCTGTGACATCCTCCTAGGAATGGGGGGAAATGGTTTTAACTCGGATGGGCAGAGCTTGGGGCAATGCTTGCAAGGGGCCATTGGCATCGCGTAGTAATGGCAGCGGGTTTCAAACCCGAGTGGTGGAGGCTTCGGGTCTCGCGGCTGCTGCCCTGAGGTGAGGCTAGCCACCTCTGCTGCTGTGCTGTTCAACCATCTCTTGAACTTGGAGAACACCTGGGTCTCTATTTTTTTTAATCTTTCAAAATAAGCATGACAGCCTTTTTGTCTTTTTTTTTTTTTTTTTT